AAAGATGAGTTGAAAATTCCTTTTAATGGAAAGGATCACATTATTCCAGTTACTATGCACAAGGTAAAAAATAATCTCGAAGTAAATTGCGCTACTACATCTCAGAATAATAGGGACGAAGTCCCATTGCTTTGCAATAAGCCTTTGGTATCTGATCAAATTTCTCAAGAGGCGGATAGTAATGAGAGCGATAATGATCCATTGGAGGAATGGCATGCTCCTGTGGGTTTTAACCTAGATTCAACTTTAAAAAAAAACGATGAGCTATGAGGAGTTAGAAAAATCACTATATGAGGTACTCGAATCCAATACCGAATTAATCGAGCTTAATAAAAAACTACAGACCTATAGAAATGAGACTGATATTGAAATGGTATGTAGATTATTGCCCAGCAATGGCCCTTTGGTCTACAAACTACTCTAGAAAAAACAAAAGTAGATTAGTTGAATCTAAGACTCTTTTCATCACGTTTAGCTTCTTCTCTTTCTTTGCGATTTTGTGCAAGCCTAGCTTGTAAATCATCTATTTCAACTACTTTTTTATTGGAATATTTACTGAATCAGATACCCGAACAGATCTAGAACTGGATCCTGGGTTTCTTTTCTTTGACTTTCTATTTGAAGTATTATTTTTAAACATTATTTCAGAAGAAACAACATTATGTATTAGTTGCTGTTTGTGCAAGGGTATGCCTTCAGCATGTTTTTTTCAAATTTTATATATTCTACAAGTTAAAGTACTATATCTATTAGCCATTTCCCTGCATGCATTTTTAACTGTCTCTTGAGATTGAATGATTTTCTCAATAGCTTCTGGTGATAAATAAGGAGTACTAGCATGATAATACTTTACAGTTATGTGTTTCATCCTTTTTATAATTATAAAAAATTATCAAAAATTATTGAAAATACTAAAATACTCCTATTTCTCTTATGTTAAAAAATGATTGGTAATCATAGGTAATTACATATTTAATATTCAATAATTTTCTAAAAAAATCGGGTAATTATCTATTATTGTTGAATTATATTGGAGCATAATTCTTTGATAGCATTATTGATAAGTATATATATGTTTCATATTTTGCTATTTTTTATAATATTTCTCTTTATTTAATATGGCCAATGTAATAGACCTTAAAAAAGAATTATATAATGCCCTCCAAGATTCTTTTGAGATAGTTTCATACAATGCTAAATTGCGGGATAAGTATAAAAAACAAGAAAAAAAATCAATCGGGAGAGAGGATGATGGGATCGAGATAGAAAGAAGTGGAGTAAAAAACTAGGAGGGGTTAATACTGAGATCCAGAAATTACGTACTCATGATCTCGAACTCATTGATAAAGCTAGGCATTTACAGATTGAAAATGCTAATAAAAAAATTTCTCTTGCGAAGTCCAAAGCTGAAAATGATATAAAATCCAAGAAAATCAAATCACTCAAGTCTATGATCAAGATATTGGAAGGTAAGTTATCTTTAGCCCAAAAAGATGTGATTTTGATTCAAAGTGACTCATCGAAAAAAGAAACTAAGATCGTGTCCCTCAAATCCAAAATAGCTGAATTAGAAAATATAAAGAGTGAATTGGAAGAGGCAAAGCCTCGAGACTATGTCCTATCGAAGGTCAATAAGCTTGAGTATCTGAAATAGGAGACTATATCAAAACCTGTAATTGGTGGAGATATCAAAAAAATATATCGAATTCTAGTAATATTTTTGTAGTTAGTGAACCTATTAAAGATCTTAGTTAATATTTTGGACATAGAAAAAAATTGAATCAAGCTGGAAAAATCGATAATGATATCTTAGCACAAACTAATAATAAGATTACCAAACTATCAAAAGTTGGTACTGAGATTAGCCCTAAAATAAATGAGAAAAGTAACATTAACGAAATTAGTAAGGATATCATACCTCAATCTCAGATTTCAGTAGGAGGAATAGAAGCAATGAGATCTAGTCTTGAGGCTTTGCCTCTTCTTGCTGTGGCAAACACTTTAATGTCACTACTATCGGTATATATTTTTCTTGCTCTGTTAATTATTGCGGTTGTGTGGTTTGTAAGATACACATAGAATATAGGTAGGCTCAAAGTGCCATTGCTCTGCATGCTGAAGGAGCAACTCTAAAGAGTCATAAAAACAGTGATCGATTGCAGGATATGTGGATCAGGTAACCAAGACTATCTATTTAAACTTGAATATTATTTATGTATGAAAAAATATTATTAATAATGTTTAAGTATTGCTAATATTGGGGAATATATTCGATACTTAACAATATAAAATAGCACAGCTAATCATTTCAAGGCTTTGATATATTTCGTAAGCCATTTTTTAGCTTCTTTTTGAGAATATGCGTCAATATGCTTTTCTTTCTCATCCGAATCTTTGAGTTGCATAATTTTATGTGAAGAAGGTGGTTGGTATCTTTCATTATCATTAATAAAGCGGGCGCATAATCCCACAGTTTGTTCCAAATAGTGGCTAATATCTATTTCTGTATTGAGTTCTTTTGCATTATCTGGAAACTCCATATAGTCTGCAACCCTTCGCGGTTGTTTTTTACCATTTTCATCATAAAGAGGATCACCTTTTACTACTACATAACTAAAGCGCTCACCAGGGTCTGGATACTCAAACTTTTTTCTTTCATTCGAGCTATAAAATGTTGGATGCATTGGTTTTTTACTTTTGGTTTCCATATAGCCATCGCAATAAATTGACCAAAATCCCATTGCTTATTTTTTGCTTCTCTAAGAGCATTTTCGACGATTTGATGGATCGTGCGTGTATTATTGATATCCATCGCTTCTCTCATAATTTTCTCTCTAACAAATTTGAAAAGCTCTGTCTGACCTTGCTTTACAGTGTCGATACCTTTAGTGAACAGCTTTTTTGGCTTGAAATTTACTATTTCCTCATGCGCAACTCCGAAGTATTTCTTTTTACTGGTAAAACATACAGGGAACAATACTTCTTCATAAGCCATTTTTAGAAAGGAGGTACCATTTTTTACCTTAAGAAAGGCATTAACTTTATTGCGAAAATTATCCATTACCTTCATAGTAATTTTAACCATTTCAGTCCAGTATGCTTCCTTAGAGAGTTCTCCTCTGGCAAAAGCTTCATCACATTTTTTGTAGTACTCATCTGGACAAGTGAGATATAAAGAATCGGTATCACCATATTTTATTCCAAAACTTTTCTTAGTTACGTAATCTGCGACAAGATTAATGTTATATTGTCCTGCTGAAGTGATTCCTCCAGCTAACTCACGAAGAAAGAATGGAGATTTACTATTTCCAGCCTCACCATAGAAAGTATTCATGTATACCTTCAGAGCGAACTGCTTGGAATTTAAACAGTTGTAATCAAAACATAAAGATGCATATTTCAATTTTAAAGTGTCTGAAACTATTTTTCCCTTCCTCTCTACGGTACTTATAAGTTTTTCAAGGTGCTCCTTTTCTTTATGCAATAAAGCGAACTTTGCTTTGAGTTTCACTCGTTTGTTAAACAGGTCCTCTAAAACAATTGGATATAATCCTTTTTTTTCAGGGCAATTATCATGCCGAACAGACCAGGCACGAAGGGTGCGATCATTAAATAAGAACTTAATCTTATGCAAGTTGTTTCCATTTTTTTGTACAATATCGGCCTCTCCTTTATTTAGTATAATTTTTTCTGGAGAGAGATTGTAGGCCATAATGAGACTTGAATATAATGAAGCAAAATCTAATCCTGTTACAGGTCTTTTCATTTCAATCCCTTTTTTAGGTGGAAATACGTATGCGCCAGGGTATTTTCCTTTTTCTATATTTTTACATACTCTTGTGCTAAATACCATATCATGTTTAAAAGCATAAGCTCCCAGAAGATTTCGTACCTTTATTCCGTTTGCACGATAGTGGGAGTCGAAGAAAGATATATGAGCTATAGAAGCAACTTCTCTATAATCGTTAATTACATTGCGTTTGACTACAAGTTCTTGGCAACGTAACGCATCTATAATACAATAGTTTGCTACTTCACGCATATTTCTAGCAGTTATATCAGAAGAGAGTTTTTTTGTCTTAGAATAGTAGTTCCATAATCTGTTAAAAGACATATCAGCCTTACTCTTGAGCCCACATAATTCTAAGTAGAACTTCAGTGAACTTTCCTTTTCTGTTTCCGAGTGAGGGTAAAGTTTCTTAAAACATGCACGGACATCGATTGGTACATATCCAGGTATTTTAAGAAAGGAAGATTTAAAGGTATCTTCCGGGGTAACTTTGATGAAAATAGAATCCCTTCTGAATTCTTCTTCCACTTCTTCTTCTGTATTCTCTTTCACGGAAAAGGTTTATTGGAAGTAGTCACATCTTCTAATCTTCCATAATAATTCTATTGTATAATATCTTCAGAAGTTGCCTGGCGAGTTCTTCCTGACATCTGTTTCCACATCCATTCAATGAGATGTAACTTATTGGCTTTTTCCATAATGAAAGGCCAATCATATTGCGAATCATTAAATCCGAGTTGGATGTCTGGAGCAAATGCCCGCCAGCAAAGTACAAATGCTTTTAGCAAATTAGTTTGCGATCCACATACAATTGTGATCCAGTCTGAATATGGTGCTGTTTCGACATCAACAAGACAAATTTGTTTTAATGGTCTTGGATCATCTTTCCAATGCAACGTCATGCAGATCATAATCACAAAATCTTCTTCATTAATCGCTTCAGGAAGTTCACCCAATCCACGTGAACTATATGTTTCTATGTCCCATGTGAGAGCAAGTGTACGATCTCTCATGAGCGCTGAAATTGGAAAGCGATATTTTAATGACGCCAGATCTTCTATAGGATGGAAATTCTCTATAGATACCCCAAAAGTATATGCACAAAGCGGGTTTCTCCTTCCTCCAATTTCACATGTATAATTATTTATTGTAGACCATCCTGATAGTGAAATTCCATATTTACGAGCCACCTTGCAATAGTACATAAATTGATCATCTGACGCTGTTACATACTTTTTCTTTTGAATAGCTTTCATTGCAATCTTTCTTTGCTTAGTGTTGGTTGTGTAAATACGCAAATATGACTTTTTATCAGGATGATAACCACGAAATGGATACGCCTTTACATGTTCTATTTTTAACCATTTTATTTCACCAGAGAAGATGGCCCTTATTTTTGTTTCAAACAAATTGGGAGACTCATCTTCTGGTACAAGAATATCAAAAAAGACTTGAATTCCCGTTATTGAAACAACTGCTTTCTGACCATTGATGAGAGGGCCATAGAGATGCAATACATACCAGGCTTGACCATTTGTGAATTCAGTGGACTCTTCCACATCAATGGCCATAAATGGAATATCTTGATGCTTAGATAAAGCATCTTCAAGAATTGCCGTTAATCCTTCATTGTTTTCTGTGACTAAATTGTCACGGGTTGGAATACCTATCAAATAATCTTCACCAAAGTATCAGAGTAATTGACTGGTTTTTTCATTTTCTGAAATCTGTGATTGAGGAAAAGCTTTGGCCCCCCGGTGGTAGAAGGCCCCGTTATTTTCTTCTGGCTCGAAATTTTCTGAGTATTCTGGGCTCTCTGGTCGAGAAAGTAGTATCTCCATCTCTGCTGGCACGTGATTGATGGTTTCTTGAAAATTTTGGGTATCCATAATACGTTTTATTTTGAAACTATAATAGTGGTTAGAGAAAAGTTCAAAATAAAAATTAATTATTTTAGGTAATTAGTGTTAGGCATATAATATATACGTTATTAAAGAATTTAGCATAAATATGGGATTTTACCGTTGTCCTTATATCCTTAGAAGTGGGGAAGTATGCAATCGGGGTTGCTATCATCCTGATGGATGTTGTGTTCACCGGGATTCACCACAAATTCCTTGCAAAGAATATGGCTGTATTAAGTTTACCTCTTCGAAATATGGTGCGTGTAGAACTCATGCTGGTAAGTATCGATCTCAAGATCATTATCGGCGAAAGAAGCTGGAGAAGATAGCACAAAACGGATCTGAGGTAAAAGAATCTTAGTAATTAGTATACAATATATACCTATTGATTGGAGGTTACGTTCAAGTTTTTTTCTAGGATGAGAATTAGGACAGAAAAAATACATAGTAATAACTGACACAAGTTGACATGAGTTCGTCTTAAGTAAAAAAATTGGTAGAAAGATGGGTTCTTGGAAGTCTAAGTTTGAAAAAAACTGTTCTCAATAACTGTCACAAGTTGTCACAAGTTTGTCTTAGGTAAAAAAATCGATAGAAAGATAGGTTCTTGGAAGTCTGAGTTCGAAA